GGACAGGGCCTGACGATGGGTTTAGGGTGTTGGAAGTCACAGATTTGAGGATGAGAGTTGGGGTTCACTGGCCAAGGTTTGGGAGTATCCCAAAGTTCAAGTCGCGGGTTTCTGGGGTCATTGGGGTTGGGGTCACACTCCCTAAGTTGAGAATCAGGAGTCGTGGGGTCAAGGTGATGACATCCAGACTCCTAGATGACTAGGGTCAAGGCTGAGGTCAAGGTTCCTGGAGTCAAGGTCATTAGGCTTGAAGGTCACTGAGGTTGGCAGTCATGAGGCCCTGGTCACTAGGACAGGGTCTAGGGATCAAGGATCCCAGCTTTCTGAGGCCACAGTTCCTGGGGTTGGGGTTCCCTAGGCCTAGGTCACTAGGGTTCCCAGAGCAAGGTCAAGGTCACTCACCTCCGGGGGCAGATGCATGAGCAGCACAGCAGCCACGGGCCCCTGGGCCTGGCAGTAGCCCTGCTCCGGTCGATACAGGGTATAGGCCTTGAGCACCTGCAGGAGCCCCTGCTGCCTGTGCCAGAAGACTCCATAAGGGGCCAGTCCTGCAGGCACCCCTTCTCCGCCCTCTGGTGGCCTCTGCCCAGGCCTCAGCCTCCCTGGGCCTTGCTGGGTCCCCTGAGATGCAAAACTGTAGAGCTGGGCTGGGGAAAGTGGGCCAGAGCACTTGGGGCTCATGGGGCTGGGGGTCCCCGGGCATCACCAGCCTCGTACCCGTGGCCCTGGGGTGACACAAACATCTCATGCAGGGGGAACTGGCGGTGCAGGTCCCTGCCAATGGTCTCCATCCACTGTGGGTCTCCAGGGGCCTCTGCCAGCTCCTGTGGGTAGCCGGGAAGGTGGGTGCGAGGGTTCGGTGTGGTGCGTGCTCTGGGTAAGGGAGCTGGGGCCCCTGCCCACTCCCTCACCTGATAGGTGCCAGGGTTGTTCTTTTGGCATACGTGGGCCCCGCACAACAGGGGCCAGCACCGGGCACGCAGGGCAGATGGGATACCTTTCCGGCACTGCATCTTCACCTGTGGGCGAGGCCGAGGGCTTCGCTGGGCAACCTCCCTAGCTCCCGCTGGCAGGCCCCAGGCACAGCTCATCAGCAGGCAGGGGCCCACTTTGGGTGGCAGGGAGCAAAGGCAGGAGGTGCTGGGACCCGGGGTGGGTACATTTTGCCAAGATGTGGGCCCAGGTGGAGAGGAATGAGCCATTGAGGCCAGGGTGGGGCCCCTGCCCTCTCACCTTCTTGTACCTCCGGGACATGGTTTTCTCCCAGTGAGAGGTCATCTCCACCCACTTCATCTCCCGTTGGCGGATGAGGTCTGCAGGGGGGTGGCCTGGCCTGGGGGTGCGTGGCACAGGTATCCAGGAGCTCGGCAGCTGTTACCCAGGGCCCATGCTGCCACCCTTCAGGCTACCCAGGTGAGCCCAGCTCCTGGCCCCAGGGATCTCTGGGAGCCCTGTGGGATGACCTGTGACCCGGGAGCTGCTAATGCTTGTCACGGGGACAGAAAAGGATGTGGATCCGATGTGGGCAGAAGCAGGAGACTGAAGAGGTGAGTGGGTGTGTGTTGGGGGAGGGGCAGGCTGACTGTCACCCAGGACAGGGACACAGACAATTCATAGGGGAAGCTGGCTGCAGAGAGCCCTGGACTGGAAGCCCGCAGTCCTGAGTTTGTCTGGGTCTGTCTCTGATCCCCTGTGTGATCTGGGACAAGTTTCTGTATAAATCTGAACTTGTGTTTCTGTCTGCAGCTTGGGGAAAGGCAGAAGGAGGTGTGGGTTCTGGGATTTGGATCTGGGATTCCTGGGCCAGAGGTTCAAAGAGGAAGGATGTTCTGCCCCAGCGGTGAGTGAAACCCTCAGAGGTTGGGGGTAAGAGATACACAGAGGCCTCCCCCCACCCTTCCCACCTTAGGTTCCACCTGGAGCCTGCAGAGGGGTGATACTGGCTGAGTCCCCTCCCAGTCCCTCCCACCAGACCCTCCCAACCTCCCTGAGTCAGGCTTCACTCCAGAATTCAGCCCTCCCCCGGCATCCTCTGTCCCAGTATCCCACCATCCCTCCCCCTGCCCCCTTACCCTCGCTCTGCCGAACTGCCCCCAATGAATCCATAGCGGTCGGCCTGGCGATATGGGCCAGGCCCGCTGAGTTCTGAGTCCGACCCCAAAGAGCTGGAGTCATCCTGCAGCTCGGGCGACTGCACCAGATCCTCCCCCAGGGCCTGGGCCATGGTGCCCTGAGCCTTCAATGCCACAGGCAGAGAATGTGGGGAGAACCAGTGTGAGGGACCACTCTGGCCAGCCTGGGGCCTGGCTGCGGGGTCAGAGCTGAGAGGTTTCAGGGTATCTCACCAAGCCCCCCATGTCTCCTCTTTTATGGGGGCGGGGGCTAGGCCCCACACTGACAGAAAAGCCAGGCCTCTGTCTGGAGACCCATCCCCAGGCCCAGCCCCTGTCCCCGCCAGCCCAGCTCACCTCCGGCAGCACCTCACCTCTTCTCACTTCCTCCTCCTCACATAGCTTTGGTAACCGCTGGGGGCCCCTCCCAAGTGTGGGGAGGTGTCACCCCTTCCTCTCTGTGACTCTTCCTGCCTGCCCCAGTGCCCCTGAGCTGTGGGCTCCTCCCACCCTCCCCAATCTACAGGCTTGAGTTCCTACGCCGGGTGTGTAGAACCCAGGCCTGCTAGATGAGGAGGCCATGCTACGCCGGGTGTGTAGAACCCAGGCCTGCTAGATGAGGAGGCCATGCCACCTCCAGTTCGTTTGTTTGTTTGTTTTGAGGCAAAGTCTTGCTCTATTGTCCAGGCTGGAGCGCAATGGCGCGATCTCAGCTCACTGCAACCTCCGCCTCCTGGTTCAAGTGATTCTCCTACCTCAGCCTCCCAAGTAGCTGGAATTACAGGCATGCCACCATGCCTGGCTAATTTTTGTATTTTTAGTAGAGATGGGGTTTTGCCATGTTGGCCAGGCTAGTCTCAAAATCCTGACCTCAAATAATCTGTCTGCTTCAGCCTCCCAAAGTGCTGGGATTACAGGCATGAGCCACCACGCCTGGCCTTTATGTTTCTTTTTTTGAGAGAGGGTCTCACTGTTACCCCGGCTGGAGTGTAATGGCATGATCTGGGCTCACTGCAACCTCCACCTTCTGGTCTCAAGAGATCCTCCTGCCTCAGCCTCCCTGGTAGCTGGGACTGCAGGCATGCACCACCATGCCCAGCTAATTTTTTTGTAAAATAAATATGGAACGCTTCACGAATTTGCGTGTCATCCTTGTGCAGGGGCCATGCTAATCTTCTCTGTATCGTTCCAATTTTAGTATATGTGCTGCCGAAGTGAGCATAATTTTTTTTTTTTTTTTTTTTTTTTTTTTTTTATTTTTATATGTTGTCTCTCTCTGTCACCCAGGCTGGAGTGCAGTGGCGCCATCTCAGCTCACTGCAACCTCTGCCTCCTGGTTCAAGTGATTCTCCTGCCTCAGCCTCCTGGAGTAGCTGGAACCACAGGCATGTACCGCCATGCCCAGCTAAGTTTTTGTATTTTTAGTAGAGACAGGGTTTCACTGTGTTAGCCAGGATGGTCTCGATCTCCTGACCTCATGATCTGCCTGCCTTAACCTCCCAAAGTGCTGGGATTACAGGTGTGAGTCACGGTGCCTGGCCAATTTTTGTGTTTTTTGTTGAGATGAGGTTTCGCCATGTTGCCCAGGCTGGGCGCAAGAGATCATCCTGCCTCAGCCTCCCAAAATGCTGGAATTATAGGCCTGAGCCACGATGGCCAGCCCACCTCCAGTTTTGAGGTTACTGGTGTGTAAAGCACCCAACTCAGGGTTCCAACAATAATTACGGTTCATTTAATGTCTACTCTTTATAAAATAATTCTTTTTACGTGCACACCCTGCAATATTAGTGTGCTACTCGAAGCTTATTATGGGGCCAGGTGTGGTGGCTCACGCCTGTAATCCCAGCCTGGCTAACATGGAAACCCCCCCTCTAATAAAAATACAAAAATTGGGCCGGGCGCGGTGGCTCACGCCTGTAATCCCAGCACTTTGGGAGGCCGAGGTGGGTGGATCACGAGGTCAAGAGATCAAGACCATCCTGGTCAACATGGTGAAACCCCGTCTCTACTAAAAATACAAAAAATTAGCTGGGCATGGTGGTGCGTGCCTGTAATCCCAGCTACTCAGGAGGCTGAGGCAGGAGAATTGCCTGAACCCAGGAGGCGGAGGTTGCGGTGAGCCGAGATCGCGCCATTGCACTCCAGCCTGGGTAACAAGAGTGAAACTCCGTCTCAAAAAAAAAAAAAAAAAACACAAAAATACAAAAATTAGCGGGCACGGTGACCTCCGCCTGTAGTCCCTGTTACTCTGGAAGCTGAGGCATGACAATCTTGAACCCAGGAGGGGAAGGTTGCAGTAAGCCAAGGTCGCGCCACTGCCTTCCAGCCTGTGGGACAGAGCAAAAATGCCTCAAAAAAAAAAGCTAATTATGGGACTTGTAAGAAAATATTAATTTAGCATGCCCCAAGGACCAAAGTGCGCTGGGAATTCTAGCTGTCTTTGAGTGTGGTCAGCCGCCTGGGGGCCACAGAGACCCACGAGGAAGGGGGTCGTCCGTGAAAGTGAGGTCCAGGTCTTGAACCAGCCTGTTGCTATCTCTTAAGCCTCAGTTTCCCTTTCTGCATTTGGAGAAGTTAACCCTCAGTGCGGGGCAGCCGGTTATTAACGTGTTCACGACACCCTCCACCCAGGGCAGGGGTGGGAACGGCTGTTCAGCTTTTGAAAGAGAAAAACAACTTCCACGGTTCTTCCGGCCCCACATCCTCAGAACGGAGCTGGGCGCCTCCTCTCGGGTGTAATCAGCCTCGGCCCCGCCCCCGACAGACCCCGCCCCCAGCCTGCCGCCGAGGCCCCGCCCCCTGAGCCTCCTCTAGCACCGCCCCCCCGCCCCCTGGGCCTCCGCGCCTCACGTCCAGCGGGGGCGCTAGAGCGCGGGGGGCCGGGCGGGGCGGGCCCGGGAGGCCCGGAGGCGGAGCGGCGGGCCGGGGGCGGACTGGGGCGGGCGGAAGGAGAGCCAGGCCGGAAGGAGGCTGCCGGAGGGCGGGAGACGGGAGCGGGCCCGGAGCTGCTGGGCTGGAGCGGCGGCGCCGCCATGTCCGACAGCGAGAAGCTCAACCTGGACTCTATCATCGGGCGCCTGCTGGAAGGTTGGCCGGGGTGGGGAAGGTCCGCGTCCGCCGCGCCCTGGACCCCTGCCTGGCCCGGAAGTGGCGCGCGGGCGGGCTCCCGGGGCCACCTTAGACTGGGCGGGGACGCACCGCGAGGTTCCGTGGCCGCAGCCGCCCCCCCGCGGACGCGCCTGAGAGGTCCGGGGCCAGCTCCGAGGCGCGGAGCAGCCCCCTCTCCCCTGCCGGGGGCTCACGGGTTGCCTGGGCTCTTGGGGCGAGGGAGAAACCCGGGAAGCCCGGTCCAGCAAGGTGTCCTGCGCTATGAGGTTTTGGGCGGCAGCCCCCTGCGCACGACAGTCGCCTCCCGAGGCTCTGAGGATAGCTAAGGGGGCTTCCCTTGGGAGGCTTGAGGCCGACGTCCCAGGAGGCTCAGCAGCAACAGCTGCCTCTGGGCAAGGAGGGGCCGAGGAGGCCTAGGAGCCCCCGGAGGTATCCATGGGGCCACCATGTCGCCCACCCTCCTCCTGTCTGAGGGGCCAGGGTCCTGACTCCGCATTGCGCCCCCAGTGCAGGGCTCGCGGCCTGGCAAGAATGTACAGCTGACAGAGAACGAGATCCGCGGTCTGTGCCTGAAATCCCGGGAGATTTTCCTGAGCCAGCCCATTCTTCTGGAGCTGGAGGCACCCCTCAAGATCTGCGGTGAGCACCCCCCCACCACCCCCTGTCCAGGCCTCTTTGGCTTCCTAAAAGTGGCACTGGACCCCACAAAGTTCCTGGTGCCCTCCTCCCTTGAGCCTAGTCCTGGCCCTGGGTTCAAGTCTAGACCCAGCATCTAGCTTACTTGGTTCCCTGGGTCACAGGTGACATCCACGGCCAGTACTACGACCTTCTGCGACTATTTGAGTATGGGGGCTTCCCTCCGGAGAGCAACTACCTCTTTCTGGGGGACTATGTGGACAGGGGCAAGCAGTCCTTGGAGACCATCTGCCTGCTGCTGGCCTACAAGATCAAGTACCCTGAGAACTTCTTCCTGCTCCGTGGAAACCACGAGTGTGCCAGCATCAACCGCATCTATGGTTTCTATGATGAGTGTGAGTGGTCTGAGCATCCAGGGTTGCCCGGGTCCTGAAACACTCCTTGCTATTCAGTGGGACCCTCACATTGGCCTCATATCTGACAGACACTTGCTAGACTGTGCGCTCCTCGAAGGCAGGGTCCGGTCCATTCTCACTGCCCTGCCCCTCCTGGCACGGGGTCTGGGGCCATGGTTGCCGACTGGAAGGCTGCTGGTATTCTGGTGCTTGCTCCCAGGGTCCCTGCCTGGTGAGGCTCCCCTTACATTTGTTACTAAGCACTTAGGATGTGTTTGCAGATGGGCTCTGCTGTCCAGAAGCTGAGATAAACCAGACCTGTACTTGGCCCAGCTCATGGGTGGGGGTGTGCGGGGAGTGCCAGCCCTGAGGCTGGTCCAGATTGGAATTCAGTTTCCAGTGGACTTGGGTGTTTTAGAATTAAGTCTGGCAGTAGGCCGAGGCGGGAAGATCACTTGGACCCAGGAGCTCCAAGTTACAGTGAGCTATGATCTCGCCACTGCACTCCAGCTGACCCTGGGTGACAGAGCAAGACCCTGTTTATTTTAATTAAAAATTAAAATAAAGAGAATTGTTCCTGGAAGGCTGATAGGCTGCAGGGGCAGGGGTGGTTTGCCTGGTGCCTCTCTCCTCCCATCTGCGTCTGAATAGCCCAGGGACCCAGGTTGAGGGTGGGGTAGGCAGGCCCCTCACAGCCATCTCCTGGGCAGGCAAGAGACGCTACAACATCAAACTGTGGAAAACTTTCACCGACTGCTTTAACTGCCTGCCCATCGCAGCCATCGTGGATGAAAAGATCTTCTGCTGCCACGGAGGTGAGGGAGGGGACGGTTGGGGACGAGGAGACCTGGCCGCATCCCCCATTGTCGGGCCAGCTCTCCTTTGGTCTGTCTCATTTGGGAAGTCACTCCTTCTGGGAAGTGTCTCCCATACCCCTGTGCTGGGCTGTGCTCACTCCCTTGTGCGTCCTACATGGAATGGGCTTGGCTTGTCTATCTCCCGGGAGCTCTACATTGAGCTCTGCGCTCCTGAGGGTGGGGACGTCTTTGTGCCTCTTTGGGAGCCTGCAAAAGCTGAGGGGAAGGGGATGACTTCTGCCTGCCTGGGTGCCCAGACCTGTGGAGGGACCAAGGGGGTGGTGGGAAAGGTGAGGCTGATTGGCCACGGCTTTCTGGAGTGAGGATGTCCTTGTTTGAGGATATGGACTTCCCCCGGTCCCCCAGGCTTGTCCCCAGACCTGCAATCCATGGAGCAGATCCGGCGTATCATGCGGCCCACAGATGTGCCTGACCAGGGCCTGCTGTGTGACCTGTTGTGGTCTGACCCTGACAAGGACGTGCAGGGCTGGGGCGAGAACGACCGTGGTGTCTCTTTCACCTTTGGAGCTGAGGTGGTGGCCAAGTTTCTGCACAAGCACGACTTGGACCTCATCTGCCGGGCGCACCAGGTGGGCTGGCGGCTCTGGCCTGGGTTGGGGGAAGGGAAGGGCAGTGCCAACACGTGGAACTGACTGCTCTGGTCTGCACCCAGGTGGTAGAAGATGGCTATGAGTTCTTTGCCAAGCGGCAGCTGGTGACACTTTTCTCAGCTCCCAACTACTGTGGCGAGTTTGACAATGCTGGTGCCATGATGAGCGTGGACGAGACCCTCATGTGCTCCTTCCAGGTAAGTGTGGGGAAGGGAGCTTCGAGGCCCTGTGGCTCAGCCCCACGCGCCTGACCAACCCTGTCTCTTTTAGATCCTCAAGCCCGCCGACAAGAACAAGGGGAAGTACGGGCAGTTCAGTGGCCTGAACCCTGGAGGCCGACCCATCACCCCGCCCCGCAATTCCGCCAAAGCCAAGAAATAGCCCCCGCACACCGCCCCGTGCCCCAGATGATGGATTGATTGTACAGAAATCATGCTGCCATGGTGGGGGGGGGGGGGCAGGTGTCACACCAGCCCCTCAGGCCCACCTGTCACGGGGAACATGGAGCCTTGGTGTATTTTTTTTTTTTTTTTTAATGAATTAATAGCAGCGTCTAATCCCCCAGGGCTTCTTCCTGCCTGCACCTGCTGGGGCTGTGAGCAGGATCCTGGGGCTGAGGCTGCAGCTCAGGGCAACGGCAGGCCAGGTCGTGGGGCTCCAGCCATGCTTGGCCTCAGGGCTGGCAGCCGGATCCTGGGGCAACCCCATCTGGTCTCTTGAATAAAGGTCAAAGCTGGATTCTCGCCATGGTCTCCGTCTCACGTCTAAGACACTGCCTGGCAGCCCTTCTGCCCAGAGCCACTTGGGAGGCTGGGCACCAGGCCCTAGCCAGGGCAGCCCCAGCCACACATTCAGGTCCAAGGCTCTTAGAATTCCAAGACAGCACCAGAGTATCAGGAAAGCAAGAAAAACTGTCAGCTCCAGGGGGTCCCAGATGCACACCCAGGACTTCAGGAAGGAACAGGTCATGACTGCAGAGAAGCTGGGTCAGCAGGGGCCAGCAGCACCTGCTGTTGACACTTTCCTTAGAAAAGTGAGCGAGGGAGACAGGTTTCCAGCCTTGGCCAGCTGGAGTATGGCCTGATGCTCAATGGGAAACAAGAAGGAACATCAGTAGTTCAGGACCAGGTCTGGAGAGTCATGACTGGCTGGGGGTTGTAGGGAGATGACAGGACCCAGGCCCAAGCACTGCAGGACAGCTTCACAGTGGCAGCCAGCTGGGGCCTGTGAGAGGCAGTGGAACAGCTCAGCTCCAGCAGGCCCACCTTCCTGACCCCCAGGGCTGAGACCCAGCTCTGCCACTGGCTGGGGCTTCATCTGGTCCAAGGCCTCCTGGTACAGGCTTCAGGTTCTCAGTTCAGCCTTCGCCCTCACTGTCTTCAGCCAGCACAGGGCTGGGGCCCTGCGGGGAGCCTACAGGGGCCAGGATGGAGCCGAAGAACAGCGAGCGGAACTGGAAAGAACAAGTGAGTTCTGGAGGCTGCTCCCTTCCCCACCCCGCCCCCAGTCCCGCCTTCGCCTTCAGCCCCTACCTTCTTGGGTGGGGGAGTCCCAGGCACTGTACTGGGCTCAGCCTCATCTTCCTCCTCAGAGTGGGGGCCGGGGCTCTGGGGGGGCTGGGGACCAGGTGATAGGGAAATGGAGGGCAGTACTCTTGAGCCCTCATTGCCTATAGTGGTTTCCATGGCAATCATGTAAGAGTCGATGTCGTCGCTGGCGAAGTCATCTGGGTGGGGTGTGCTGTAGGCAGAATCGGAGTATCAGGGAGGAACAGGGAGGGGAGAGGGGGTGCAGAGGTAGGGCCCCACCTTGGAGGGCTCCAAGCCAGCTTGGGGGCCCCCTGACCAGTGGAGATCTCTTGGTTTTACGGCTTCCTGGTTTGGCTGGAGAGGAGAGAATGCAGGGGTAAGTGGGGGCTTCCTGGAGGGGGTGGGCCAGGAATCTCTTTGATCAGAGTTTAGGTAGGGGCCTGAGGGAGGCATCCCCAGGCTACTTTAGCTCAGCTGGGGGAGGGGAGCAGCAAGTCCTGTGAAATTCGCTACATGGGGCCCAAGCCCCCACCTTCCCAGGGGACAGGAGCTGGAGAGCACAGGAGCCCAGGGACATGCTGGGCTGGGGGCCAGCCCCAACTTCCGCTGCTGAAACTGCGCTGGGCCCATCCTCCCCAGCCCACCTGCCCTTCCAGCCACCTGCTTCCCCCGGCCCAGGCAGCTCCCTGCCTCCCAGCAGCCCTTTCCCTCCTTGGCCTGGGAGGAGGCTCAGAGGGGAAGCCTCAGCCAGAGAAGGAAGCCGGCAGGTCCTTAGGGCTGCTTCCTAGGGTGGGAGTACAGCTGACCCAGACGGCTGAGTCTGCAGGGCTGGCAGCTGTGAGCACTGTAGGGGCAGAGGCTGGGACCTGAGAGATGGGAGGAGCCGGAGGGGGAGGGGAGATTGAAAAACATGGGGGGAGGGGCAGAAGCTGGAAGTTGCACCCACAGCGGGAGAGGATGAGGTTGGGGAGGCACCCTTACCTGTGAGCCTGGAGCTGAGGCACTGGCCGGTGGCGCTCCAGGGAGCCCAGGTCCTGGGAGTACGAGTCTGTCTCTGAGAGAGTGGCCAAAACAAAGTGGCCGTCCAGCAAAGAGTCCTTGATGGTGAAGATGGCAGGCCTGGGCAGGGGACGGGAGCCCCAAGCTAGGTCATCCCATTCAGCTCCTGGCATCCCAGAGCCCTTCCCTGTCCTGAAGCTGGAAATTACCTGCCCGGAGCATCAAAGTGAATGCTAAGATTCAAGTTTGCCGACTCTGCAAAGCTCAGGAGCCCCTGGGAGGGAAGAGGTAGCAGGTGAGGCCCTGGGCTGGGCTGGGCTGGGCTAGGCAGGGAGGACCCAAGGCGAATGGGGGGGAGGAACCTCACCCGGAATTCCTTGAGGCAGAAGGTGATGGCCACCCCCTCCTGGGCCTGCAGCTGCTGGAAGTCCTCCTCCCCAAGGCACACCTCAGTCACCATGGCTTTGACAGTGCTATCTGTTGGGGAAGAATAGGAGGAACCTGGGCCCTGCCTCTCTCCCACCTGCAGCTCTGCTCTGTCCCACGCGACGTCCAGCTCCCTCACCTGCCTCCTCCTCGTGATAGCTGCGCAGGATGACCCTGTGGCCACGGCCAACGCCCAGCGTCACTTCAGCCAGCGCGGGAGGGAAGGGCAGGACAGCCTCCCCCAGGACCCTGTGAACAGGGCGGAGCATTGCCCTAAATGCTCGGCCCTGTCACCTCAGGCGGGGTGACACAGGCACCCACATGGATGGTCACAGGCCTAGTACATGGATGAGGCCCAGAGAAGGCGGCAGGGAGAGGGCCCAGAGGCAGGACTCGGCACTCACACTGCCCTACCAAGCTGGCCTTCAGAAAGAGGCCTGAAATGCTTATCCTCTAAGGATGCCCACTGCTCTACAGATGAGATCACATCTGGAATCTGCTTCAAGTCAAGTGGGGACAGGAGCTGCTCTGCTTTTACATACATTTGACATTATTCATGAGACAGAGTACTCACTTCCACAGCACATACTCTGAAACTGGAAGGATGCAGAGATTCCCAAGGCCCCTTCACGAAGATTGAAAAAAAAAAGAGTGGCCAGGCTTGGTGGCTCACACCTGTAATCCCAGCATTTGGGGAGACCCCAACAGTAGATCACTTGAGGTCGGGAGTTCGAGACCAGCTTGGCCAACGTGGTAAAACTTCTCTACTAAAAATACAAAAACTGGGCTGGTCATGGTGGCTCATGCCTGTAATCCCAGCACTTTGGGAGGCCGAGGCAGGCGGATCACCTGAGGTCAGGAATTCAAGACCAGCATGGCCAACATGGTGAAACCCTATTTCTACTAAAAATAGAAAAATTAGCCAGGTGTGGTGGCAGGCACCTGTAATCCCAGCTACTCAGGAGGCTGAGACAGTAGAATCACTTGAATCTGGCAGGCGGAGGTTGCAGTGAGCCAAGATTGTGCCACTGTACTCTAGCCCAGGTGACAGAGCAAGACTCCATCTCAAAACAAGAAAAACAACTGTTCATTAAAAAAAAAAAAAAATCCCTCTCTCACTACCCAAAAGAGCTCTGAGCAGTACTGGTTCAAGAGAACCTGGGGAAACAGATGTCAGGACCCAAAGGGACCGTCAGTCACCCTGAAAAATGAACAGGACCTTGGGCCACTTGAATGTAAGCAGTGTCCAGCGTGGGGAAGGGGGAGAGCCCACTCCTGTCCGACTGGTCCTTTCCAGGGACCTTTGCTTCCACTTGAGTTCCTGTTTCCCTGGCCCCCGAGAGTCCCCAGTGCTCAGACTGCCCAGAACCGCTCGATCACAGCTGACTGTTCAGGCGGCCTCCTGAACCACAACCTCCTCTCCAGCCTCCTGCCCTGACCTTGAGGACTCCTCAAAGTTAGATCCTACGCAGTCAGGGAGAGAGGCTGCCCTTGAATGGGGAACATCTCTGGAGGGATGCCCAGGCCAGAGAAGGGGTCTGAACCTCTGAGCCACGGGTCAGGGGCAGACCTTCAAGGTTACTCAAACCGGATGAGAGGTGGTGGCAGGCCAGAAATGCGCCCCCTAGAAGAGGAATTGGAATGGGTCTGAGTACCCAGAAAGTCAAGTCAGACCTTTGGGATGGGGAATGCAGGCTCCTAACAGTGAGGAGAATGGAGCAAGGAGGTGCCTGCCCCTCCTCCACATTGCCCTCAGCCTTTAAGGAGCCAGGTAAGGACCTGAGCATAGAGGGCCGTGGGATGTCTTTGAGGTTCACAGAAATTCTGTAGGGAAGATGAAAGAGGCACCTTCTGAAATCAACCTTTGGGGCCCCAAAGAAGGAAGAGACAGACCTGGGGCGGAGTTGAGGGCAGGTGGGCAGGCTGTGCTCACCGTGCTGGGGCGCGGAGCATGTGGGGGCACGAGGCTGGGTCGAAGATGGCCTGCAGGGACTCGCAATCCTGGAAGGACAGGTTGTGAGTCTTCCGCACCCCTAGATGGGCGACAGGGTCTCAGTGGGCCTCGCCAACCTCCTGGCTGAGGCACCCCTTGGCCAGCCGGCTGCCCACTCACCGAACTTGCAGTGCAGCTGGACCACCAGGCGGCTGCTCTGGCCATTCAGGGAAATGCAGCATTTTTCCACTGTCTTCTCCAGCATCGCCAGTGAGCGGAAGACAGACAGGAAGGACTGCATAGGGTAAGACACCTCAGCCTGGCACCGGGTCTCTGCGACCAGCTTTCCTGTCCCACGCAGGGCCTTGCCCATCATGGGCCCAGCATGAAACTGGGAAAAGGGCTCCCACACCATGTGAGACACTGGCACCCTTCTGGGCCTCATTCATGCTTTTCCCTATGCCTGGAATGCCTTGAAAGACCTGTTTGCCTTTTTTTCTTTTTTTGAGACGGAGTCTCCCGCTGTTGCTAGGCTAGAATGCAATGGCGTGATCTCGGCTCACTGCAACCTCCATCTCCCAGGTTCAAGCAATTCTCCTGCCTCACCCTCCCGAGAAGTTCAGACTACCGGTGCGCACTGCCATGCCCAGCTAAATTTTTGTATTTTTGTAGAGACAGGGTTTCACCATGTTGGCCAGGATGGTCTCCATCTCCTGAACCACCTGCCTCGGCCTCCCAAAGTGCTGAGATTATAGGCATGACCCACTGCGTCAGGCCGACCTGCTTACCTTTCTCAACGAACTTGAGCCTCACCACCCTCTCAGGTCCCCACTGTGATGCTTTTGCCATGCCTCTC